AATTAAAATTTTCAAACCTAAACCAAACCGTTTTGGTTTGATTCAAAACCATTTCGTTGACGGGTCCACGTCGCACCAAACCGCCAGTTTCGAAATTGCGGTTTCGATTCGGTTTTCCGGTTTGGCGATTTTTGCTTACAGCCCTAATTACTTCTTCTGAAGTTTTTGGTTGGTTTTTCTCTTGTACTTTTCTTTTTCGAGGTATGGGGTCTTTTGAACCAATTGGTCGACTACGCTTCTGGCATATTTAAGATTCATTTGCTATAACAAATTGTCGTGCAGTGACGTCAATTTTTGCTGAATATTTTATGCTGGTGTATATGACTTTATCACTTTTCTTGTGTCAACAAATACATTTGGTAATTGATTTGAAAATCTTTGCAAATGAATAATTTTTTCAACCTCTTGCTGACGTTGATTACTGCAGCTATCAAAGTGAGTTAGAGTTGTTTCATTCCAAGAAATTTTACTTTATTTATCAGGATGTAGTTTTTCCCTCCCAAAATTAGGAAAGTCATTTCATCAAAATGACAATATGCAAAGCATGTAATAAATAAATCACCTGTTAAAAGTTAAAGATACTTAATAATAGATGGTGAATCAAAACCCACATAAATCTCAAGTTTTCGTTGGGGACCAATTTTAGTCCGTTGTGGGGTGAAATAGGGATTTGAACATCACAACCAAAAGCCCGCAGGTGAGTAATATTAGGTTCATGACCAAATGCTAGTTGCAAAGGTAAATATTGATAATATGTTGTTGATCTGATACGAACTAACGACGTAGCATGTAACAAGGCATGACCTCAAAAAGAAGTTGGGAGTTTTGTTTTCTTGAGTAATGGTCTATCAATAAGTTGTAGACGTTTAATAAATGACTCCGCTAAACCATTTTGTGTATGGTCACGCGCAATCGAATGCTCAACAAAAATCCCAATTGGCATGCAATAATTATCGAATGTTTGTGATCTAAATTCAGCAGCATTATCAAGATGAATAGTCTTGATTGAATAATCGAGAAATTGCGCACATAATTTTATGATTTGAGCAGTAGTCTAGCAAAAGCTACATTCC